CTTGTATGCATACTTGGTCGCTTGTCAGTTCAGTATACACCTATGCGACACGTTGTTCAAACTTCATTTCGTTGTAATCGTTGAAGTGAACGAACATAACGACATACGGATCTACGTCTTCCCAGCAAGTATTTATAGGACAAATGATTCATACTGGACTCTATTGCCCTCACATGCGGCTCGTTATTGAGTCAAATTTGTAGGTTTTTTGTTGAATATACTAATACCGTTTTTTTTCAATAAATAATTTGCAAAAGTTTCGGATGGCTTTTCTTTACGGCCACCGTCCCTCTCCTCCGGCAACACAGAAAGGAGAATTCTACTTAGTAAGGGTTTAATCCCTAAGCGCGGCCGAAGACCGCCTACGCAAAAGGTACTTAAAAAAAAGCCACCGGAGCCTGACGCCTTTACCTTTATGCACTAGAAATGGTATATACCATGGGAAAGGCTCAAGTCAGTGCCTTCATCTACTCAAAACAAGCGACAATTTAGATTTTTCCCCATTTTTGTAAGGCAGCCGGGAAGGAGTTGCATTTCTGTAAACAGCGGCTCATGACCGTGCCTCTCCCGCCACTCTCCGCCCACCGCGCACACAACGTAAAGGAAAGTTTCCAAAAGTTTCTGTCATACATATGTATATGGAAGTATGTGTTAGTATCTTTGTCGTAAAAAGCAACTTCAATAAAGTAGAAAAATTCGTGACTAATATTTTTTTTTGATAAAACGATGTGAGGAGTTCTAATTCGATGAAATCCATCATATTAATCAAAAGTGAATTTTGAATTTTTTATCAGTTACGACTTTTTGCATTTCAGGAACGATGTTTTTTCCGTCGTATTGCATTTCAGGTGACGATATATGATATATGTAGTTACATAAAGATATAAATAAAAAATTTTAACTATTAAAATTTATTATTTTAATAATTTATCCATATAGTCTTCTGTAAAGATATAATAGATATAATGCGAATCAGTTTAAGAAATAAAATTGACTTATTTGTTACTCCAAATGTTTGCTGGGTTTGTACTTTTCTATACACATAGGAAGTTCTATCTGCATTGTGTACTATAAACGTTCATACCTGTCGCAACAACGAGCAAACAAATTGAAAAATTTCAATTTCCTTTATACATGTCTGCAGACCTGGAATTTGGTATACACACCCGCCTATCCACGATGCGACGGTACGTCATACTTGACATGTAGTACAGACAAGTCTACTTGTGTATATTCTGCTTAAGTTAAAAAAAAAACATTACAAGGTAAATTTATTCTCTCAATTCGATGGCCATGATTTTTTTCTGACGTTTATATATCATATAAAAATTTAAGATTATCGTTAATTTCTTCATGATCCGATGATCAGATTTAAACCAAATTAAAATGGACCACCTGTGAGGTAACACCTTTCCTTTAAAAATTTAGAATTATAGAAATCGGTTAACGTGGTCCAAAGTTATGCGGTAACATACTAGGGATGGGTAAATTCGACATTCGAAGCTTCGATATTCGAATTTTAATCGAATTTTTGAAATCAAACTTAGTGTTGCCAAAATTCGGATAAAATCGAATTTTTCTATTTTCATCTTTATATCCAAAAAAAAATCAACTCTTTCTTCTTTCTGACTAAATTTGCCATCACTGTGTGTGGCACTCCATTTGTCTTAGGGATACAAGTAAAAAAAATGCATGTTTTTCGATCTGATGCATCGGGACAAAAAATCTGTGCCAAGAAGGATCTGTTATTCTGAACTCAAATTAAAAAAATTTTTTGTAAAAAACTTTTTTTTGTTGATTTTTTATTTTATATGTTTAGAGGCTTTTACATTGGTGGCATGAAGCTTTTGTCTGAGAAGACCCCTAGTAAAATTTTCCGGAGAATAATTTTCTAGAATATATCAATCCTCTAACGACCTTCCAAATTTGCTTTTTGCGGGATTTCTTGAAGTGAGGGCTAAATTGACCCTTCTAGGCGGGAGCTAATGGGTTAAAATGTTCTACGAAAATATTTTCCATGAAATTTTATTATATATGTCTTAACCTTTAATTTCGCTCAGACATTTATTTTAACTATTTTTCGACTTTTTTGAAAACTACTTAGGCCGAGACATGAAAACTTTAGTAGGTCATGAAATAAAAATACGAGCTAACTTTTGCAAATCCGAGTGTTTTATTACTGGACGGGGACTTTCAGAAAATGTTAACAAAGTCCGTGCTGGTTTCGGCTGTCTCACAGTGTAATTTGAGATTAACTTTTGAGACAGGTGGCCACTCTCTTCAAGCACCTCAAAAATATTTAATTGTTGCATAGTATTTTAAGCACAACACTTCTTTAACTAAATTCGACTTTGCAAACAGGTGGCACCGCTACTAAATGTAATTGAAAAATAAAGTTTATTCAAAATCATTTCGACTGATATCCATATTGGGGTAATTTATTTAACTTATTAAATAATCTGATTTTGATTTTCTTAAATATAAATATTCTACAGGGCAAGCCCTTTCAGTTGACACCTACCTCCTTTTTGAAAATCGAACGAAAGATACAGATTTTATGACTTGGTGTTAAATATTTAACGCAAACATCTGCGGAAGCGATTATTTGAATTTGATTTTCTAACCTGTGGCAACCCTTTTCATAGAACTAAAACTATGTTGCAGACCCAAAGGACAAGCTTTAAATTTGACACCTCATTTGTTTTAATTGAACGAACGATACAGATTTTATGACTTGGTGTTAAATATTTAACGCAAACATTTCCGAACTCGATTAAGAAGTTTCAATTACAAAAATTTTTGGAAAATTCGAAAAAAATCGAATCAAATCGAATCGAATAATCGAATGGTTAGGCAATGTTCGAAATTCGGAAGAAATCGAATTAAATACATAAAAAAAATATTTCGACGAATTGACAACCTTTCTCCTTTTTGTGAAGTCGGTTAAAAATGAAATTGTTCACAATTGTTGTTTGAGATTGAAAATGGGAATGTGTGTGTGAGTTTGAGTTTTGTATTTTAAAATTATATTGCTGGCAAACAACAGACTGCGTCTCAATGGTTTTACCTTGTTAGGTTTTTATCATGGTTTCATATGTATATAATTCTAATTGTCCCACGTAAGAAAAATGAAAAAATAAAACTGTATCGCATTTTTTAAGTCAGCGGACATCTGTTGACTTAAACCATATTGAATTATCTCAAAATTTTACAATGAATTTTGTCCAGCTAAATTGGTCAAACACGCCACTGTGCGGCGTATGGGTGGTGGTGCGGTTATGTCTTTTGTGTTGTCTGTTGTGGTTGTGGTGTGGTCTATTGTACTGTGTTGTGGTGCGATTGTGTTTTAGTTGAGCTGCTCAGGCGGACTTGGGTGTGCCGTGGAGGCAGCTCTGTTTGAGCAGCAGGGGGCCACATACATATGTTGCGGTCCAGTTAATCCTTAGGCCTGAGCAGACTCGGAGGTGACTTCACCCGTTGCAAATATCGCACTTGACTGGTGGAGTTAGGGTATAATCGTCTCTGGCACACGCAGCAAGTGTAAGTTTCGCTTGAGATATTTCACCGACCTAAACTGGGTTAGATCGCTGAAACAATTAGATGTGGTCATTGTCCACGCTTCTGCGCCCTATATCAGAAGGGGTGTGATGAGTGACTTATAGAGAATGGTTTTCGTTAGTAAAGAGACGACTTTAATTCTCAGTTAAGAGCCTCTCACACGTGGCAATGCAATATATTTCGAAAAGGCTGTCAACTTGAGAAATATCAGAAAGCAGTTGCATGAGCAGTCACACCTTGCATGTAAAGTGTCTTTCGAAAGAGGTTTTTTTATTTCCGAAAGGCGAGTTGCAGATTAATAATGCAGCACGAGTAAGTTGAAATATATTCCCGAAATAGGTTTGCGCTCTCTCAATTGTCGTCACATCTTGCAACTTTTATTTCTGAAACTGATTTCCGAAATTTGACAGGATGGCCTTTCTGGATGTTCAAACAAAGAAATAAAATTTCTCGTTCGCAATTCGACAGCGAATTGCGTGGAAAAGTTGGAAATATTGCCACGTCTGCCACGCTCTTTATGCCCGTATGATACTACGTTTCTTTCTTGTATTTCGAGTGTATTTTACACTGTATTTGTTATATACGATTTCAGTACTTGTGTAAGGGAGTAAGCTATATACCAAAAAATAAACGAAAAACTGACGAAAAACAAACTAGGTTGTTAAAAACAGTCCGACCAACTTGTATTTCGTTCAGTTTTTTTAACAGATGGCTGTATTTCGTTCGTTTTTCTTACACAGCTGTTTGCATTTTGCCAGACGAGTTATTTTCTTAGCATAAACAAAATGGAAATACAATTAAATTAAATACGTTACTGTTTTGCCACTTTAATTTAATTTTTTAATGTAACAAAACTGTTTTACGCAAATTTTAATTTCGTTTATTTGAATTTCGGTAAGGATATGTCAAAACTCAGCTGTTTTTCACACAGACTTTGTTTCTCTCTAACACATTGCCGAATTGTTTTTGTAATTTGACTTTCGTCAGTTTTTTTGTTTGTATTTCAAATGAAAAGTACAGGAAAAAAACGTAGTATCATACGGGCATTACGGTTATTTTAATTTTCATACAAAAAAATCCATTTTTATTTAAGATTAAAAAAAATCCTCAGATTATGGAACAGTACGACCAGGGCATCGAGATGAACTCTCTGAATGAAAATCTGTTGCGCTCGAGTAACTAAAAAAGGCGATTTTGGAATCATCTTCAAAAAGAGCTGACCTCACATCTAAAATTTCAGTCTTCTGAATCGGAGATTCATTCGTGCTCGTTTAACATACTTTGTGAATATATGACCCGCTCAGTAAACATTTTCCAAGCTTGCCGGCTGATTAACATACATCCGTTATCAGAAACACGCTATCAATTTATGACGCGCCCGCTTATTTTCACTTTCTTATTATTTTGAACAGGTTCATATTAAGACCAAAACTTGCGCTTACCTTGATTTTGCCAAATCCAGTTTGGTCCACGTACTACGCGTATACCTGGTTGTATGGCCGGGCGCATTTCAGTCCAATTTACTCTACTTCAATTTTGATACGAAACAATTTTGGAAATCGTTCTAAAAAATTATGCTGTGAAATAGAATAAAATCATACATACACATGTATTAAATATTTTCAATTGATACTTTTTGAAATATGCATGTTCTTAAAGTTCTAGACAGCCGTTAACTACAAACGGCTTTTACGTGAAGATTTTAGTACTGCAGTTACAACAAGAAGATGGCGAGTTATACATATTAGATGCCGCCAGTGTTGCCAGGTCTTCAGCATGGGAAAACGTCCCTCTTGGTTGAAAAAACGTCATTTCCTATCCAAAAACGTCTTTTTCAAATGAATGTACAATAAATTGTTCTTATTTAAATTTTTATTGTATACAAAGGTACATTTTTTTCAAAATATTCTTTTTGATGCAGAAATATTCCTAGAGCATCTAGAGGCGTTCTGCATCAAAAACAAAATTTTGAAAAAATGTCGCTTACGTTATTTTGGTGGTTAGGGCCCGATATATACGTAAGGTATATTAAAATATCATTTCGACAGAGCACATTTAAAATTCATTGTAAACTGGTCTGAGATCGTTAATATAAAAATCATTTTATACATACAATTGTGAACAACTGATTAAGTCATCAACATTTTGATCGATTTTCGCTGTTTCTCTTTCGTTTATTTAATGTTTATTATTTTTCCATAAAATCTCATTAACAATCAACATTAGGGGCTCGGTTGTCGAAAATGCTAAATTACGTTCTGCTAAAAAGGAGCATAGCAATAGGTCCATTCAATATAAAAAAAAATGTTACGAATTGTTACTAGTACTTGCAAGTTTTTACTGGAAATGCATTCAATAACCCAAAATATTTGCAAGAGGGAGCGAATTCGAGAGCGTAACAGCCCGAGAGAGCTGCAAATTCTTGCAAATAAAAAGTTTACTTGCAGGAATTTGCAGGAGTCCAAAAGTAAGGTTATGTTTCAAATTCAAATGTAAACAAACTGTTTAAGAGGATGATTTGATGAAACATAATTAGTGAAATGAAAATATGGATAAAAAATTCAAATCTATTGTATATTTTTTACTTTTATGATGATCAGAACTATTCCCAATTAAAAAGAAAATTGCGCGCCAAAGCTTAACCGTCAGAAAGTGTCAAAATGGCTTAAGTTGCAAGTTTTTACTAGTTTTGCGTTTAATAACTTTTTCTGTCTTAAAAAAGTCGCCTACTTTTTTCTGACGTTTTATGCTGCACAGCTTTTTTGGTGCTTTTGCGAGCAATAGATCAGCTCTACCTGATTTGTCTTTTAATGTGCAATTGCATCATTACAGCAAACCTCGTAACCTCAAGTGCTTACACAACCAGCCTTTGAACAAGGGATCCTTAGTCCGGCTCACAGTGGTTCGGATAGCAGATCTAGCTGGACGAAAGTCAAAATTTTTTTGTTTTTAAAATACTTAATAGTACTTGGAATACATTTCTGACAATACATTCAAATAGAAATTGCATTTATTAAAGCATTAACATATGAAAACAAACAAACAAAGGTAAGTCAACGCCGCCTATTTTAGAACTCTATTTTAAAAGCTGAAATTTAACTTAAAAATTGCTAATTGCACTCACAAATATTTGCATAATTGCAAATTGACTTTATAAACAAAAAATTACACATATTCCGCTATAGATTCAGAGGTCATAACGCAATTTATGTCCACAATAGTATAAGCAAATTTATTCTGAAAAATCGTCGTTTTGATTAATTAAAAAAATAAATTAAAGAGTAGGAAAAGTAAAGGCCGCCGAAGGCCGTTATAAACCCACTTGCATATTATTCTTTACACCTTCGCAAATGCAGAGGGTAAGTTCCATAACCAAGTCTAACCAATTGGCTTAGATATTTACAATTTAGTGACGGTATGTCAAATCTCATATAAATATAAGATCAGTGGCGGATCCACGGGGCAGAGGGGGGAGGGGTTGTGTGTTAAAACAGAAAAATACTTGGAGTTATAAAACCTTTGGTTATGTAAGAGTTAAAAAAAATAGTACCTCGCGAATTTTCTACTTTCTGAAATTAAAAAATTATACAACAGGCATGCAAATCTTTAAGCGCTGTTACAAAATTTTTTCTGAAATTTATTTGTGTTTCTTGCTGTGATCTTAAATTTTAGTCATGGTAAATAAAATCTTAAGAAGCGAGTTGTTTGACATTTGGTGTTGCAGAAACTTCTAAAAGACAACAAGGTGTCCGTGATTATGTGATTAGTAAATTGAAAGAAATATCTGATGAAAATGCTCGTTCCGAAGTAAATAAAGTAAATGACTTTAGATTCGTAATCAGCAACCCAGAAAATCCCCAGATACCCAGTTACATAGAAATCTACCGATTTTTTTAAATTTTCGTCTGCCATATTGGATCCGCCATTTTGAATTTTTGGTAAATGACTTTAGATATGTAATCAGCGACCCAGAAAACCCCCAGATACCCAGTTTCATAGAAATCTACCGATTTTTTTTGAATTTTCGTCCGCCATATTGGATCCGCCATTTTGAATTTTTGATAAGTGACTTCAGATTCGTAATCAGCGACTCAAAAATCTCATAGGTAAGAAGTGGTGTAAAGATCCATCAACGAGTATTTGTTTAAATAGTTTTGTCCAGCTAGATTTGCGATCCGAACCACTGTGCAGCTGCAGCAAAACACAAAGATTGTATAGATTTATTAAGAAAATAATTCAAAATCAGTTCTACTTATAAGATTTATTAACAAAGAAAAATTACAGGGAAGTTAAAAAACGTCATTTTTTAAACAAAAAAACGTCCAAACGTCAACAGGGTACAAAAAACGTCCAAATGACGTTAAAAAACGTCAACCTGGCAACGCTGGATGCCGCAGGCCTAAGCATGCTAATTCTAAAATGTCTAGGAACAACCACGGTAAACCATCTCAGGGTCTACGTAACCGGAAAGATACAGATCCATATCTGGCCAAGGACTGTCACTCCAGCAACATTCCCAGAAACCCTTTGGGAACTTTTATTCTGTTACAACAACAGTTGAGTGTTCCCATGATAGTGCTGTTACAACAATCCCGGCATTAATGCTATAAGCACATAGATATTAAAATCGTGGCCTTAACGAAATTCCCGCATTTAGAGGACAGTCTTAGTAGCACTCGACCTTGCACTGGTGCTTTCGCAATTGATGCTACTTGAATAGTAGCAATCTGGCATTTGAAACTTATACCAAGATGTTCGGAAAATTGCCCTGAACAACATATCAAAAACGAGAGGTCATATGAAATTTTCCAGATTAACACAAAAAATGCTCAGGACTTATGTTCTATGAATCCTATCTAGAAAATTAAAATATCAGAATAAAGATCACAATCTGGAACAATCCGTTGCTTTGCAATTAAATCGTGAATTTTTCTTAGGTTTTTTTTAGACTCAACAAATGGTAATAAAGGTCTTCCCCAATTCTAAAATCTCATTGCTGAAAAATATGAGGTTTGTTCAATAACATTTCCAGTAAGTACCGGCAGCTCGAGCGTAAACACAAAACTGACTGAAAGTCAAATTGAGAGGAAGAAAAACTTATCAGAAATAGTCATTGAACGCAAAACCAGTAAACTTTCGCCATTCTGAAATTTTTCGATGGGTAAATAAATTATTCCTCAATACTTTCGTTTTACCCATTTGCTTCAAAATTACAGTTAGTAAAAATTTTTGTATTTTGGCACCTGCAAGTTTCTGTAAGTAAAATTAAAATTGTTACTAATTGTTAACATACTTACAAGTTTTTACTGGAAAGGCGTTCAATAACCCAAAAATTTGCAAGAAAGAGGAATTCGAGAGCTTAACAACCCGAGAGCTGCAAATTCTTGCACGTAAAAATTTTACTAACAGGAATTCGCAGGTGTAAAAATATCAGTCATACTTCAAATTCAAATGTAAATAAAGTTATGACGATGGAAAATATTTCCAAAGAAAAGTAAAATTGCACACTTAACCATCAGAAAGGTTAAAATGGCGTCAGTTGCAAGTTTTTACTGGGTTTGTGTTCAATAACTGCTTTTGATAATTTTCTCTAAAGAGCGTGTCAGACGTGGCAATATATTTCGATGCAATAAATTTCGGAAAGGCTGTCAAATTGAGAAATCAGTTGCATGAGCAGTCACACCTTGCATGGAAAGTGTCTTTCGAAAGAGGTTTTTATTTCCGAACGGTGAATTGCAGGAAAAATTTCTGAAATCGCTTTTTGGCTGTTCACACAGCGAATGAGTTTCTGGCAATCTTTCTCGATACTAAAATGCAACCATGGGCGGTGGGGTTGTCGTTTGTTTGCTATTTCTCTTGTAAAAGCGGGAAAATATATGTTATAATTAACATATTTGTCGTGTAAACAATAATTTAACGATTAAGTATATTAAACAAAATAATATATTTCAAGCATTTTTGATATTAAATTCAACAATATTTTTTATCATTTTACACAAATTCGCGATCAGGGCCACACGGCAACACTCGATTAGTTTGACAGCACTTGCAGAAGAAATAAAAATTGCTAGTGCAGCACGAGCAAGTTGAAATATATTTCCGAAATCGATTTTCGCTCTTGCAGTTGCAGTCCCACCTTGCAACTTTTATTTCTGAAACTGATTTCCGAAAGGTGACAGAAAGATCTTTCTGGCTGTTCACACATCGAAATAAAATTTCTCTTTCTCAATTTGACAGCGAATTGCGTGCGAAAGACGGAAATATTGCCACGTCTGACAGGCTCTTTACTCTTACTTTTACTCTCTATTTTTCATTTACTCTCTCATTGCATTCAATAACCCAAAAAATTTGCAAGAGAGAACGAATTCGGGAGCGTAACAACCCGAGAGAGCTGAGAATGAGAATTCTCAGTGACTTGAAATTGGGACTTATATGCAGCGTTGCCAGGTTGACGTTTTTAACGTCATTTGGACGTGTTTTGTATCTTGTTGACTACTATGCAAACCAAGCGTACGCGCTTTTTTTGGATTCTTGGACTAAAGGTTGGTTTTGTAAGCACTTGAAGTTGCGAGGCTTATTGAAATGGTTGCAATTGCACATTAAAGGCCAAATCAGGAAGAGCTGATCTATTGCAACACGCACGCTCGCAAAAGCACCAAAGAAGCTGTAGCAGCATAAAAAAAAACCGAAAAAACTAGGCGAACTGAAATATTGCTATGTTCCTTCTTATCAGAACGTAATTTACCATTTTCGAAACCGGCCACCTAACCAAATGTATACAAGAAAAAAATAATAATACATATTAAAAAATCAACGCGATTCTTTAGCAACTTAAAACTTGCACATTATTACCCTGGATAATAATGGGCTATCAAACTCCATACTCGAAAAAGTTCTTAAAAATCTGAATAAAAAGTTGAAAATCTAGCTGAAACTTTGCAGATTTTTTATAATTTTTGCACAAAGTTTGAAATGTGGATTTATATTTTGTTTGTTATATAATGAGCTAGGCTTTTATGGAAAAATAATAAACAAAAGAAAAACAAGCACAATCGATCAAAATATCGATGACTTAATCAGCTGATCACAAGTGTATGTATAAAATGATTTTTATATTAACGATCTCAAACCAGTTTAGAATGAATTTTAAATGTGCTGTCGAAATGGCATTTTAATATACCTTACATACATACTTATGTACCTTTGTATACAATATAAGTTTAATAAGAACAATTCTGTGTGCATACATTTGAAAAAGACGTTTTTGGGTAGGAAATGACGTTTTTTCAGACCAAGAGGGACGTTTTCTCATGCCGAAGACCTGGCAACACTGCTTATATGGTTTTTGTTAGATAGTCAGCTGTATTTGTATAAAAAATAAATAAAAATAAACATAAACCAAACAAAAGGAATAGCCAAAACTGATCCAAATATTCTGTTCCTATTATTATTATTATTATTATTATTATTATTTCCCTAAAAAAAATAATTGCGAATGAGCCATGGTATATATCAATTTTGAGTAAATATTGATGAATTCCTTCCTTCCTGCTCAAAAAATTTAGAACGTCCGGTACATACACACATATAAATTCAAGACTGCATTTCTACTTAAATTGTTTAACTTCCACAATTTCTACGCAGCGGAATAGCTGCCCTTGATTGTGTTGGCTTAACAAATGAAAAAAGTGGGAAAAAAGCCACGGTAATTTACAAGGCGAACTTAGCACAGTGCGTAGGCAACTGGCTGAGTCAGTGGGATCGTCGGTTCGAATCCTACTGAAAGAAGTCTGATGAGGAAATGTGGTGATTTCCGAAATAGCTATCACTTCTACCATTTTTTCAAATTATTGTTGCTTTGCCACGATAAGTTTTTCATTAAAAACGGCCTCAAGCTCAATAAAAATTGTTGAATATAATTGTTATAAGGCCATAAAATAACAAAAAAAAAACAAAAAACAAATAACTTAAGGAAGAGCACACCTAAAAGTTAAACATTCGAAAAATAGAATTATTAACAAAAACCAACGACCACATGATTAAGCGGGAATTGCAGCGGAATAGCTAGCTGCCCTTGATTGTGTTGGCTTAACAAATGAAAAAGTGGAAAAAAGCAACGATATTTTACAAGACGAACTTATCACAGTGCGTAGGCAACTGGATGAGTCAGTGGGATCGTCGGTTGGAATCCTACTGAAAGAAGTCTGATGAGGAAATGCGGTGATTTCCGAAATAGCTAACACTTCTACCATTTTTTCAAATTATTGTTGCTTTTCCACAATAAGTTTTTCATTAAAAACGGCCTCAAGCTAAATAAAAATGTTGAATAAGTCAAATATAAAAGTTAAAATATGACTTCTATTTTTTCGGTACTTTTTTACTTTAGTTTTATTTTTTTTCAGTCAAATATAAAAGTCAAAACATATTTTTTATTTTTTTTTCGAAGATTGCGTTCGAAAAGCATTTATGGAAATAGGCTAAATGCTGATACGCACCTTATGGATTACTGGGAGAGTAAAAAAATTTTATATCTCCCACTAAGAGGTCTGGCATGTACATATTATACATCAAGTTCCAGCGTCACGAATCAGTGTAGAACGCGCGTTCTCAGCACTAAGCTTATTCTTAGCGATTTGCGATAAAAATTTGTCGGAGCAGAACTTGACAGCTATAATAATTATTAAATTGAATTCCGAATCATTCCTGTAAAAAGGTGAATAACTTAAAGCTTAAATTAAAGAACGGAATATACTTGTAGAAGATAGAAAGGATGTGCATTTTTTATAATAACATATTGTATTGAGAATATGTAAACTGCCATTTTGAACGAAAAAATAAGTCAAATTTTAACTTTTATATTTGACCGAAAAAATAAAAATCAATTTTTAACTTTTAATTTTGACTGAAAAAATAAAAGTCAAATTTTTACTTTTATATTTGACCAAAAAACTAAAAGTCAAGTTTTAACTTTAACTTTTGACTGAAAAAATATCAGTCAAAAAATAACGGTTAATTGCTAACTTTTGAAAAAAGTAAAAAAAAAAATTAAATCATATAGGATTAACATTCCTTGGCTAACAAGCATCACATTGCTACATATATACAAATGTTAAAAATACCCATTCTTTCCGACTGACTTTTTGAATTGAAATTTGAAAAATAACTAATATTTTCGGTCCCTGCATATAACTAATAAGGTGATTTAAAAACAAATGGTTTTGTAAACCTTTTTAATTTTTAATATATTATATATTTTTGTATATATATAATACATTTTTTAAATTCGATTTTTTTTTAACTATACAACACATATATAAAGAGTTTACATCAGATTAAGGACAATTAAATTCTCTATCGAATGACCACCAAATTTTTAAAATGCATGAATGGGTTTTTGATAAGTTTTGATTTAAAAAAAAGCTTAATTTCAACTGTGACCCTTAATAACTCTTGTAGTGTTTCCCCCAAAATAAAATATGCCGTTATGTTCAGCTAAATAATCTCTATCGATGCTCATTTTTTTTTTAATTTGAGAATTGTAGGTATTCTGCAGTTGTTCTAATCTTTGTTTTAGTTTAAAGTTCAATCGGCATAAGTAAAGAATAGGGAAAAAGGAGAAATGGGGTTGAATATAGTTTTAAGTGCTGAGCACACGTATACTAATTTTATATTGCGGAAATATAAATTGTGGAAGATATCTAGGGTTAAATATGAAATTTTGGATTTTGAAAAATGTTAATCAGGTCTTCCCTTAAACTCGTAAAAGCCTCGTAAACCTCGTAAACCTCGTAAAGTTTGTAAATTTACGAGCCTCGTAAAAGGACTGCCAAAATTTGTATGGAGCTCTATTTACGAGCCCCTCGTCAAATTACGACCAGCTTTATGCGCAAACGACCTCGTAAACTTCAGTGTTGCCGAGGGGCCAAAATATTTATACTAAAATGTATGATAAAATAATAAACATAAATGAAAAAATAATAATAAGCCTATAACATGAATAAATTTCACTCATTCCCACGACAGCCGGTTCTACGTACCGGAATGACTCGGGTTTTACCCGCCCAAGGGCTGTTGTTTCGGCAATCTAACCCCGTTTAGGTCGGCGAAGTATCTCAGAAGTTGTCCGTCCATAGGGCTACATTCACTACGAATTCTACTAATCAGGGCTGGCATCGAGTCAAACCCAGGGCCAGAAATCTACACCTGCTGTGAATGCCGGAGACGACTACACCACAACTCCACCTCAGTCAAGTGTAATGCTTGCGAGTTGTGGAGTCACCTTAGAGTCTGCTCAGGACTACGGACACATC